TGATTTATTTGTGTCTTAGAATAAAGCACAGAGCAAGAGGTATTGACTAAAATAGCACAGGCTTTTGTAAGGTAGTTAGGGCGTTTTTTTCTTTTTGGTTGTGGAGGGCTAGGTGGTGGCTGAATGTTCAAACAGGAGTTAAGAAAGATGCATGGCTGGCGAGCTCTTTGTAATGTTTGCATTCATTTATTCCCCAGAAGCACAAAAGAAATAGGAAACGGTTGTGTGCTTAGTGTATTGGTCTGTAACCTTCCCAAGTCTTGATAAACAAAGGCTGGTAACATAACAGTAACCCTTAGACTTAGGTCATGGGATTTGCACAGAGATCCATCCAATTTTCCTAGTGTTCACAGATGTGATTGAAGAAAGCAGAGTACTAGTGTTAGATCAGATCAGCTCTCATGGGTTCAACAAACCTATATTACTGAAGCACCACAAGAGCCAATCAATTGAGGCAATTGTGTTATGGAAACAACTATTCCATAAATATAATGGGCTGTATCCAGTTAAGGCATACTTGGAGTAGCCTGCCTAAGGGGGAAAAGCACAACTTACCGGTATGTTAGCAATCTCCATTAATTTCAATAGTTATATTCTGATAGGGGCTAACTTTGGATGCAACCCCATATCTTTAGGTAGCATGTAGTCGGTTTTGGTTGATATTGCAAAGATCAAGAGTAGGAGGAGGAAGTGGTCCCTGGTTGCAAAAGGACTTCTTTCTCATTGAGAACCAGTTATTTCTTGTTCCTTGCCATATGGGGAGTAACATTACTATGTTAGTAATATTTCATGAAGGTATGTCTTTGAATGGTTATGAGTTTTATAGTAATTGCAGTGGAAGCTACAAAACAGTTGGACATACATATACTGCTGGAGTTGCCAAATGATGAGGATTGTGTGACTGTACCCTATCATGAAAGTATCTCAGTTCACTTTACCAGCACTAATCTTCAAGGCACAGTAAGCGGTAGTTCTGCTGATCTTTTGATGGCTAAGCTATTACTTTGGTTTTCTAATTTTATCAGATATAAAGTAAAATATGGACACCCTACAAGTAATTTCTTTTCTTTCCCCCCACCCCAACAACATGGGGGGGGAGAGAGAGAGTGGGAGTTTATCAGACTATAAAAAACAAGTCTCCCCCTCCAAATGTGATAAAATCCTGTGATTTTCTACACAGGCATATTGCCTCTGACAGTGGAGACTGAGCATAGCGATTTTGGCTAGTAGCCACTGATAGCCAAATGTCCCATGAACTAACAGTAGTCTTTGTTGTTGTTTAGTTGTTTAGTCGTGTCCGACTCTTCGTGACCCCATGGACCAGAGCACACCAGGCACCTCTGTCCTCCACTACCTCCTGCAGTTTGGTCAAACTCATGCTGGTAACCTCGAAAACACTATCCAACCATCTCGTCCTCTGTCGCCCCCTTCTCCTTGTGCCCTCCATCTTTCCCAGCATCAGTGTCTTCTCCAGGGAGTCTTCTCTTCTCATGAGGTGGCCAAAGTACTGGAGCCTCAGCTTCACGATCTGTCCTTCCAGTGAGCACTCAGGGCTGATTTCCTTAAGAATGGATGCGTTTGATCTTCTTGCAGTCCATGGGACTCTCAAGAGTCTCCTCCAGCACCATAATTCAAAAGCATCAATTCTTCGGCGATCAGCCTTCTTTATGGTCCAGTTCTCACTTCCATACATCACTACTGGGAAAACCATGGCTTTAACTATACGGACCTTTGTTGGCAAGGTGACGTCTCTACTTCTCAAGATGCTGTCTAGGCCTGTCATTGCCCTTCTCCCAAGAAGCAGGCGTACCAGTAGTCTACTCCTGTTTTAAAGCTATCCAGATTGCTAGCCATCCCTGCATCTTGTCAGAGTTAATGCCATCATTTAACTATGTGCTGGGTGAAAGACTTTATCTGTCCTGAGTCTTCCAACATTCAGTTTTCCTGGATGCCCCTGAGTTGCACTATTATATTTATATAGCAGCACTACGATATTGTAGATTATGCCAACTGGATCACCTCTATCCATATGCTTGTTCACACTCTCAGAGAACTCTAATAGGTTAGTGGCTATTTATTTTATGTTACAGTTAAGAGTCTTAGAATGGTTTTATCTTCCTGTTCACCTAGTCCCCCAGAACTGGTGATTGTAACATCTGGTAAACCAATGGAATGAAAATATCATTAAAAAAAAAGTTTTCATCTAGATTGTGACTGCTTATTGAAATATCCTAGGGTCATATCAGTTTCACAGGGAACATCAATTGGGTTTCAAAGAAAACCCAGAGACAAATTGGAATAAAAGATCTCTTATCAGAGACATAGATGGCTTTATTTAGATAATGTGCTGAAAACTGGAGATTAGTGCCACCTTCTGGAAACAGAGTGGAAACTAGGATAATAATTCATCACATACCAATGTTTCAAGACTGGCATTGGAATGACATTTCTAATATATTCAATATATACAGACAGTCTCTACACTTCCATTTCATTTGCAATGAAGTTGCCAATCCATTTTTTTAGTGGTGGAAAATTTAAGTAGAGATTGAGGGTTGATGGACTATCTATTGAGAATTTAAAAATAACTGAAACCGGTAGAGAATTGTTTACAGCCAACTAGTAAGCCAAACTGGCTACATATCTCTAGAATATCAGTTTCTAAAAATCCTGTTAAGAGGGTCACCTTCAAACTACAGGCCCATTAGTTTGATGAATAATATGTCAAATTTTATGCAAAGCAACAAATATTTTACAGAAGAATGGGGCCTGGAATATGACATATTTCCGAAAGGACAGTTTTCAGACTGTCTGTTTCACTATTGATCACAACTGTGTACTCGTAGAAAATTATGAGTATGTCAGGAACTCCAAATTTTATGTGGCATTTATTGACCTTATGGAGCCCTTGAATGCCATAGACAAAGAAGAACTTTAGAATAAACTTGTATCTACAAATTTAGATTTCAGACTGTTGGTGCCACTTTAAAATTGTATATGCCAATACCAGGGGGTGGGGGGAATAGGTTAACATTTAGATGTTTCCTATCTAATGCAATTCATATTATTTGTGAGGCTAAGCAGGGCTGGTGTTTGTGTGTGTGTGTGTGTGTGTGTGTGTAACTGCTATTAGTAAATGAAATACATTCAAGCCCTTCTTTTGTGCTGAGATCTTAGAACTTTTCTATCCCATTTGGTTTATATAGACTGCAGGATGCATTGGCACCAGTAGTCCCATTCGTGCCCATTGGGAGTGGTGGGACAGAAGGGCCAATAGTGAAAGGAGACAGAGCCAACTAGTTCTAGTTTTGTCTCCATCCTTCTCTCTGCTGAGTTCTACAAGGGCAACACTGAGACTGGATATAAGTAAGAAGGTGGGAGGGGGACCTGCCTGAGGACAGGATGAGGTGGGTGGGGAGATTATTACCTGGTGATAAAGGTAAAGGTACCCCTGCCCGTACGGGCCAGTCTTGACAGACTCTAGGGTTGTGCGCCAATCTCACTTAAGAGGCCGGGGGCCAGCGCTGTCCAGAGACACTTCCGGGTCACATGGCCAGCGTGACATCGCTGCTCTGGCAAGCCAGAGCCGCACACGGAAACGCCGTTTACCTTCCCGCTAGTAAGCGGTCCCTATTTATCTACTTGCACCCGAAGGTGCTTTCGAACTGCTAGGTTGGCAGGCGCTGGGACCGAACGACGGGAGCGCACCCAGCCGCGGGGATTCGAACCGCCGACTTTTCGATTGGCAAGCCCTAGGCGCTGAGGCTTTTACCCACAGCGCCACCTGCGTCCCTTTTACCTGGTGATAAGCACCATCAAATTCATTTGGACTTACTTCTGAAAAGATGTGGTTAGGATTGTGCTTTCACTGTTCCCATATCTCACCGGCTACATATTTCCTTAATTCTACTCCCCACTTATCACAATAGTTGTTTCACCAGTTGTTAATACATGTTAATATATTGTATATCTTAGATGTCAATATCCCCTTTTCTTGCTTAATCAGTTTCTCGAAACATTACCCCTTAAATTGTTCTTTCTCAATTTATTCTGAAACCCGTTTCCTTAATTGAAAAATAAACTGCTATAATCAAAATCTGTGATTACCTCTCCTTTCATTTAATTCTTGATATGAATAAATTTCTCCTCTCTAATTAGATGCTTCCATCTTACTAATTGTATTTGCTCTCAAATTTTCCTCAAATTCATTGCTATATAATTTATTACCATGAAGATACTGCTGGACTTAATCTTGTCTTTATCTTTTCCCATTTAAGAATAGATTCCAAATAAAAATGAATTGCCTTAAAAAATCAGACGCTAGCATCCAGACAGGGGTGCTAATTTGAATAAAATATTTGCAGGGGGAGCAGGTAAGCCCTGCCCCACAAAATCAATCACACAACCATGGCACATGCACACCATCTGAATGGCGACGGCAATCAACTTTGGAGGCACCTGGCCCCCTCAAAGATTTTAGTGGGGGGCAGGCTGAATGGACCTCATCCTGTAGAGTTGGCTCCTATGTATCTGGGACTGAGAAAAGTAGTATCCAATATTCTGCTGAGATGAGAAGATTTCTAGATGGACTAAGCCTAAAGGAGAGAAAGTTTTTGAGAGCCAGTGTGGTGTAGTGGTTAAGAGCGGTAGTCTCGTAATCTGGGGGACCGGGTTCACGTCTCCGCTCCTCCACATGCAGCTGCTGGGTGACCTTGGGCTAGTCACACTTCTCTGAAGTCTCTCAGCCCCACTCACCTCACAGAGTGTTTGTTGTGGGGGAGGAAGGGAAAGGAGAATGTTAGCCGCTTCAAGACTCCTTCGGGTAGTGATAAAGCGGGATATCAAATCCAAACTCTTCTTAACACCTTTGACAGTGGCTGAGAAGAAGAAGAAACGCCTTTGGGAAATAGGTTGGACACTGCACTGAAAGAGGATGGAAGTGTTATATGTGGATGAATTGGTTGTGGTCACATTCATAACCAAATGAGGAAGCATTGCTCTCAGTCTTCATTGGCTTTTATTTTTGTCTCATGGTTTTGTTACACAGACAAATCAATTAAATATTATGACAATATCACATTCACTACAATGATACATTTTCAGCTGGGATTCAAGAAAGAGAATGATGTTCTAAAGAGACCAAGCAGGCATTCCTATTTCTCTCAAATCTTATTTGGTTAGGTTAAGTATATGTTGATGTGGAACACATTACTAGTAAAGAAAATTAACATCATAGGATGCCCAGTTTCAAGAAACCTCATGGTGTTCATTATTGCTGATTTTGAGGCAACTGGGTATCCCAAGTTCCTGCCTGTTTACTTCTTTTATAGTTTGATTTTCAAGGTTTACTCTGAGTAGACACATTGAAATCAATTAATATGACTAAGTTAGGTCTATTAATTTAAATAAATCTACTCTGAATAAAACTTAGTTGCATACCACTCATTGTGTGGAACAGATATATTGGGGTGAGGAAAGAGGAACTAATGAATTCTTGGATTTGAAAGTGATGAGAACCTTGGATAAAAATGCCAATAATGACTATCAGGCAGAAGTAGGGAAGACAACTTTGGGTAGAACTCAGAGTTTATAGACTAAAAAAATTGGATATTTCACATTATGTATTTAATCTTACCTAGTTGTATCCTCCAATGACAACCTATTCATAGGAATTCAAGTTGCACAGAGTCCAGAACAGGAACGGAATAGCAGAGTGCTCACACAAATAACAAATAATAGTGATCCCTTAGATCCTAAACCTTAGGAGCTGGCAATCAGATGAACATGCTCCCCAATTAGAATTTTGGAATAATTCTGCTTTATTTCCTGCCTGTTTTGTTTAATTTGACTGGGTTAGAGCATATTGAAGTTCCTCGAAGCTGATTGATTATCCACACAATTTTGACTTTAGAGAATGAGCTTAGTGTTTCTGAAAGTGGAGTCAATGCAGAGTGTGTGCCTAAGAAGCCTTTTGGGCTTTGACTGAGATAAAATGATGATTGCTTAGAAAGTCATTAGCTTCTTGCTGGTTTTGTTACTCTTTGCACAGCTTTACAGTTTCATCTGCTTGACAGAGCTGAATAAAAAACACACCAATCCTGACAATTTGTAGGTGTCTTGGGAATTGCAGAGCATGCAACTGAAACATTTTGTTTCAATGACTTAGCACAACAATTGATAAAAGTGAAACTTCAACTGAATATGAGTGATGGAACAGAGATATAGCTAATACTTGGAGTAGATAAATGAATAGACCCATGTTAGTCATGTTCATTATTTTCAGTGGGTTTACTTTGAGTAGGAGTAACATTGGATACAGCTTTCATTTTATTTATTTATTGCATTTATATACCACCTTTATCTTCCAAGGATCTCTAGGTGGCATAGATGATTGTCCTCCTCTTCCTCCCCTTTTCATCCTCACACCAACCCTATGAGATAGGCTAGGCTATGAGATAGTGACTAGCCCAAGGTCACTCAGTGCGCTTCATGGCTGAATGGGGATTCAAACTTTGTGGTCTCCCAGGTCCTGTTCCAACACTCTAACCATTACACCAGACTGGCTCTCGGCTTCTAGTTTTAAAGGAAGTGTTATAGATTGTCTTGAAAAATGGATACCATGTATATGATGTATAGCACCTGGAAACAAATTGACAATTTTTTAAAATATAGAGCAATATGCATATAAGCAGTGGACACAGCATGAAGAAGAACAACTATTGATGTAACTTATTTGTTTATTTGTATGGCCTTTATTATTTTCATTGAAAATGAAGTGAAATGAATAAGGATTTAGTCAGTAATCACTTGCCTATCAAACTGTTTAACCAAGATACTTTCTTCAAGAGACCACAATTATTTAGGGCCTCATTATCAATAAGGACCAGGTTTATTCCTTTGGTGAGTGAGACCTGAGAGAACAAGCATGTAATGAGTTTGTGGCACTGGTACCACTTAAAGGAAATATAGTTAAAAGTGTACATGCAGGCAAAAGTATGCACATGAATGCTCATTCTTTATTCCCATTGCTGTATCTGTTGTGTGTACAGATACTTTGGTTTGTAAAACTTAGGTCCAAACATGGTTATAAACAATTCCATGAATCTTTGACTTCATATCCAGCTTGTTCTTTTTTGGTTTTATTTGATTTTACACATTTAGTTATATGTTTTTCAAATAAATTAATGCAGGATTACACCAGTCAATCAGAATAGATGTTTTGGTCGATTTTGTTAGAGCTCATACTGAATGACATCGCCAATTGGTAATAATATATAGAGAGAGGACTTATTAGTTTAGGTATTGTCCGGTAAGGGGATGGAAGAGAGAGGTGTAGAATTGCTTTTATAATTGCCTGACATGTGGCATCCCCAAGATTTATGTCTATCATAGCTAGAATAAATAATAATAATAATAATAATAATAATAATAATAATGAATAATAATAATTAATTATTTATTTCTACCCCACCCATCTGGCTCTACAATCATTCATCAAATATTAAAAGCTTCCCTAAACAGGGCTGCCTTCAGATGTCTTCTAAAAGTCAGATAGTTGTTTATTTCTTTGACATCAGATGGGAGGGCGTTCCACAGGGTGGGCGCCACTACCGAGAAGGCCCTCTGCCTGGTTCCCTGTGACTTTGCTTCTTGCGGTGAGGGAACCACAGAAGGCCCTCAGTGCTGGACCTCATTGTCCAGGCAGAACAATGGGGGTGGAGATGCTCCTTCAGAATATGGAGTTCCATGATTCTTTAGTCTGAGAGCTCCTAGTCGTGTTTTGTTAGAGGTGGCCATTTGCTCTACTGCTTCATTGAATCACTTCTGTCTATCTATGGGATTCTTGTTTGATAGCACAAATTGGGGGGGGGGGTCACTGAAGTTGGTAACAAATGGGGGGGGACAGTCCTGTACAGACTACAGTTGTGGATTTCATTTTCTTGCTGCAAACAACTTTCTTTCTTATCCATAAAGATAACAGTGCTAAAGAAAAGTAGAAGGATTCTGGTTTGTACTGTAGTTTCTTCTCTATATTCATATGCTGCTTTATACCTCAGAGGTGTTTTAATTTAGTTTGTGGATTTTGTGCCTGAAGGCTGTTGACTAAGTAGGTTAGTTTATTACGCTGAGCCTACATCACTGATTTTACAGAATTAAAGGGGCCTCCTTTTTGTATGATGTTTAAAAATATTACATACCAGCCTGACTGTAAGATTTGTAGGATATCCTTTCAATGAACACAAAAGCGATGATTGTGGCCATGCATTTTCAATAAATATTCAGCTGAGATTCTGAGTATATAATTGATCATTGCATGCAAAAGTTGTGGATCAGTTTGGAGACTGAGCTGGAAAATGTCATTAGTATTTCACTTGTTTGATGTAGGAAACTATGACTGCGATGCCACGAAGCATTTATTCCACTGCATTAGAGATGAACAAATGCTTCAATGTAATGAAGACAATACTAGCTTTTGACCTTTTTGAAAATGAAAGACCTGAAAAGTTTGCGAAGAGCAATTGTATGTGTAGAACAAGTAAATGAGGCTTACTCTGTGATTAACATCACAATCCTATACAGTGGTACCTCAGGTTACATACGCTTCAGGTTACAGACTCCGCTAACCCAGAAATAGTGCTTCAGGTTAGGAACTTTGCTTCAGGATGAGAACAGAAATCGTGCTCCAGCGGCGCGGCAGCAGCGGGAGGCCCCATTAGCTAAAGTGGTGCTTCAGGTTAAGAACAGTTTCAGGTTAAGTACGGACTTCCGGAATGAATTAAGTACTTAACCCAAGGTACCACTGTACCTGTTCTTATCCTGAAGCAAAGTTCTTAACCTGAAGCATATCTGTACATATCTACTTAGTTCATTAGGATATGAAACTAGATTAGTATGCATAGGATTGCAGTTTTAAGATATATGCAAGAGTAAACATATCTGAAGATGTTCTTATAGTTTACATGCATTTTTGTATAGCTTTGAGAACCAAAAAAACATAACAACACCCAAGCTGGCCAGAGAACATGTTAGGATAGGGATTGATTGATTGATTGATTGATTGATTGAATAGTGTGTGTACTATGGATCAGGACAGTTCTCAGATACTGTCTCCAAAATTCTAAAAAGAACTTGTTGCATAGCAACACAAGCAGACTGACAATCTAAGTAGCCTATAATAAAATAGCTATTATGAGGTCTGTTTGAATAATTCCCTGTAGTGGTTCTTTCCAGACATCATATGTATGCAGCATGTTGCAAAGGGTGCAAGACATTTTCTCCAAGCCATCACTTACCTTTGTGGGGTGTTTCAAGTGGAACAGCCACCATAAGTATTTTAATTATGCCACCACAGATATACCTGTGCTAGGAAGAAGAAGAAAAGGTATGCAGGGTAGAATGAAGTTAGCAAATGCCTAGCATATTTTGGATAGGAAAAGGCACAGAAATATGTTGAAATAGATGTTTCAAATAACACATAGAATCATAGAGTTGGAAGGTACCCAAGGGTCTTCTAGTCCAACCCTGCATGATGTCCCTGCGTACTAGAACAGGCAAGTAATGCTGACAAATCTTAACCAAACAGCAGAGAACATGGCTGCAAATTTTTAAGAATGTGCCTTATTTGTGGAGCATAGAGCTGCAGAAGCCCTAATCTTGCTGTGGAACAGTGCAATCCTTAGCGCCCATTCTAACACTGTGGAGCACGTTTTGCTACCTGGTATAGTGCAGCGCGACATGCTAGGAAACAGCCTGGATGATGGCTAGAGTGACTTTCTCCTTCAAGTCCTCAAAGTATCAGAAGCCTGCTCCACAGTAACTCAGGGCAGAGGTTTTTGGTGTGGCTTCCCCTGTTCTGTGCAACAGCATCCCTGTTGAGGTACAACACATGGCCACTATCTGCACTTTCTGAAAACAACTGAAGACTTTTTTTGTCTCAACAAGCTTTTCCCAACTGGATGCAAAGGTTTCTGCCTTAGTTGTATTGCTTATAAACCATCTTGAGTTATTTTTGTACTGTTTTAAAAACTAATTTTAGCTGTTTTTATTATATGTTTTGTAAATCATCTTGGTACATACAAAAGGGAATTCATAAATAATAACTCTCCTACATTGACACGTGTGGGGGTACTCACATTGGCATTTTCTTGTGTACTCAGTCTGTACTTAGCAACAAGCAGTTAATTGGCCTCTTGAATTGAAGTGCATAATGAACATGCTCTTCCGATCATGCCTGTTGGTTGCACTTCTCAGAAAGGGCAACACGGAAATAGTAAAGAGCTGCTAAGAAAAAAGGATTAAGGGGAGTATTTTTCTCTGGGATAGTAAAAAAAAAAAAGTCCAACTGTTAAGTACTTAACGAGTACTGAGAGAAATGTGAAACTTCTTTAGGAAAATTAATGTCCCAGATCATTTTTTTTTAATTTTAAAAGTCATTTTATTACTATCTTGTCAACTTTTAAAATAAACAAATAAATAAAATTAAGGTGCCCAAAATATCTCCCTGTCTATCAAACAGAAAAGCTGCATAGATAAGTAGTTAGTGTAAATGTTAATTAATATATGATGAAGATGACTTACAAACTTTAAAAATGTTTGTGAAATCCTTCGTTCCCCTAAAAATACCCAAAAGATAATGACTTATATTCTATAGCAGATACCCAAAAAATACCCAAAAGATAATGACTTATATTCTATAGCAGGGTTTCATAAACTTGGGTCTCCAGCTGTTTTTGACTACAACTCCCATCATCCCTAGCTAGTAGGACCAGTGGTCAGGGATGATGGGAATTGTAGTCCAAAAACAACTGGAGACCCAAACTTGGGAAACCCTGTTCTATAGTTTCATGATGTGACATAAGAAACAGAAATCTCATTGAGGGCCAATTTATCAGTCACAGCCAGCTGCTTATATACAAATTTTATTTACTCATGGACTTTTCATATGAGCACTGTGGACACTAGATGTATTTTTTTTAAAGCTTTTAAAAAAGCATTTTCAGAACTTTCAAAATATGTGTGTAGATTCCACCTGCATCTGTAGGGAGAGAGCTCACGTAGTATCTAAACTTCTGTAAGCAAGGGATGCTTGAAATACAGACTTCTATGTTCATGAAAATTGCATTAGTTCTATTCTCATGTTTCATTAAATCCACATAATGTAGATTTAAAATTGTGAATTGCTCAGGGGACACAGTTGATTAGGTGCTATAGAAATGCCAAAATATTTTCTTATGTTATATTCATTAATGTATGATATTGTGGAGAAACAAATTCAAAACTGGGCCTAAGAACTGATTTGGATGGATGCTGTATCTCCAGACGTGCATTTTAAGGATGGGGGGTGGAGAATGTCTCTCAGTTTCATGTCAGATTTGCATGTGACTGCTGGGTCATGATGTGTTTGGGAGAAAGGGCAGGAGAGAGATTGAATGATTTAATAAAAATAATTTTATTATTTTTAGATAATAGTTAATAAAAAAAATTCACCATCAGGTCCCAGTTATATTTTTAGATGTAACAGTGTGGGGAAACAGGCTTGATTCTAAAGGTGCTTAGCTGTAAACAGAGGACAATTCTGTTAGCAGAAAGTGTTTGTTCATTATATGCTCAGATCATTCCTGCTTCAATGTCCTATCTCACAAACCTCATGAACGGATTTATTTTTTTTAAGACACAGGAAGAGGGGTGGGGAACATTTGGACCTCCAGATATTCTCATCTATCAGCCTCATGTTCGGGGAGTTGGAGCTGATGTCCAGTAACATCTGGATGGCCAGAGGTCCCCTGCCCCCATTTGGGAAGCTTCCCAAAGCTTATGTAGTTTACCAAATTACTATTGATCAAAGTACAAATTATGAGTTTTAGCAGATTATCAGATTACCAAGGCAGATGTTATATGAAGTCACCAATAGTTACTAGGGTGGGTAAATAACTTCCACTTCCTGTATTGTGGACTAGGAATCAGAAGGTAAATCCCTGTTTTATTCTGGGGAAAAGTGGAAGGGACAGCAACCCAGAGTCTTATTACAATAAAGATATTGTGAATTCATTAGTGGGCCAGCTCTCTTCTCATACCCTTCCCCCAGCTTTGAATTAACATCTAGCCTGATGAAGTGTTTTGGTGGACTCAAAAGTTTTCGAAGTAAAGTTATTTATTTGGCTGCAGAGGACTGGCAAATAATGCCCTGAGAGATAACATAATCATTCCTGAAATAAGTGGCAGTGCTTTGTCCCAGACCAGTCCTGCTCCTTGACACCACTGGGGAGCACACATCCATGCTACTACATCTCATTTGGAAGATCTTCCAAACCTGAGAAATAATTTTGAAGGAGGATGTGCAGTGCATCGCAACAGGAAGGGAAGGGTGAGAAAGGCCTATCCCATGAGCAGAGCTTCAGGTATGGAAGTTAGAGATCCAAATCATTGGGTTGTATCCGACTAAGTTATATTTGCAGTAGATCCACTGAAATTAAATGACCTAAAGTAGGCTACAACCCAACTTTCCTTTGCTCCAGCTTGTGGGTTGCCCCTCCACCCATCCCTACTAGCCTCTACTTGCAGAGAGTGGGGACATTGAGCCAGCCCTAGATCTGCTGCATCCTGAGTCAGTCTGCACTGTACCAGCTCTAGGTGGGCCCAGGAATTTGCTACCTGCTACCCAGGCTGGCATGGACAATGGGGCTGCAGATATGGTGGTTTCACCACTGAGTAAAGCTAGGATAGGTTTGCATTGTCCTGCCCATCATGTCCATTAATTTAAGTGGGTATACTCTGAGTACAGCTAACATTTTGCACAGCCTGGTATTTATATTTTAGATACACCCCTTCAATAAGTTAATTGAGTAACTAGATTCTAGTTAATACTAATAGATTGTATTATATAATAGTACTATATAAAACTAATAGATTGGACTCGCAGTTCCTTTCCAACAATATAATTGTCTCTCATTTATCTTCTCTTATGTCTCTGCCAATAGCTTTCATAATGGTTTTTTGCATTTGTCATGTTCTGTGGAAGCAGCATTCTTTGGAAGAATGGTGGCCTTCGTTTTGTTTTCTGAGGCAGTCAGTCAGCATGTCCTGTTAACTTGTTTGAGGTCTCATTTATACTGTTTCAGCACTTTCAAACAATCAGCCCTGTAGCCTGGGTATTACATTCTATGGTAATGTTGAGTTCAAAGTTGCATTGACAGCAGCAGAGCACAATGCTTAAAACCCTTAATCACGTTTTACTTTTAATTGGTTACCAAATCCAATCAGTTTCCAGAATACTTTAAAACAAATTGTCAGTTTAGACAAATAAATTGGAATGGTAAAAACTGCCATAACAATAATAAGTATGCCTGTTTTAAAATTCCACTGAAGTCAGTTGATTTATTTGTAGAAAAGCACCCTGATAAAATGGAAAAATAAGTTGGCATTTAACAATTTTCTGTTTCATGGCGTAATGTCCTTGCCTGCCCAAGCAGTATGATAATCGGGAAATATAAACATACAAAGATAAATCTATCTGCAGTGCAGACATAATAAAAGGACCTTAAAGGAAGGACGCTGATTATGCACAAGTGTAATATTCAAAACTGCTACATACAATTCTGATTGTTTTCAGAGGTTACCATGATTGTTCTTCAGTATAAATGTAGCACAAAATTGGTGTGCGTGTTTTAATTTAACATTTTTAATATATCTTTAATTGCTTTTTATTTATTTTTTCTCCATAAATCTGATAGTTCAACTTAGATATCCCTTCAAATGTGTTTTGAATTCAGGAACTAGTCTTTAGACTATTTTTCGAGGCCTCAGGTTTCTAGGCATATGAAGTATTTATTAAACATGTGCAGCCATGTTCTTCCTAAAAATCCACTTTCTCACTCCATAAACAATAATCTGAGTCTTCAATGCAGGAATTATGTGACGTATTCCTATTTGGTAAAATGTCCCTGAATTAATCCATGTTACTTCAACTGTTGTAATATTTGTCTGATAATAAATAATTTTCCAACAAAATGCAGAAATGTCCATTAGGATTTTGGTAGATGGGCAGTAGGAAATTTGCTTCTCTGTGGAGGTAAACAAATAAAACAGCTCAACTGAACTTGCCTTTTAAAGTACTGTAAAACAATTCTGCAAAGTTAGGTACTCCTAAAACTCGCTGGATTTTTTTAGCAAACTTTACTTTAGTCCAGGGTAAGGCTGGAAGGCTTCCTGATGTTGAGGAAGTCCAACTCCCATCAGTTCCAGTCAGCATGGCCAATGGCCAGGGGTTGTGGGAGGTGTAGCCTAACAACATCAGGAGGGCAACTGCTTTAAGGCTACATTCTGCATTTAATTATACTTGCCTGAGTTTTATACAATTTTCATCTCCTACCTATCAATAAAGTTTTCTTTTTCTCATTAAGCACAATTAAGCAAAATTTCCCCTTTTGTGCTCTGAAAGCTCTGGAATGTAACATAACTGCTTGAAGTAGAAGCCTGATATGAAATTCTCCTGTCCTACCCAATGGAACAAAACAGGGATGTGAAGTCTTGCTGCAGTTCATAGCTAAGCATCACCATTGTCACATTCCAGGTGCTACATTTTTCTGGAAGAGGCTAGATAGAAATGTTACCAATCTTAAAAGAAGAGGGTGAAGATGAGAGACCCCTTTTGCCTTTTTATAGTTTTTGGTATAATTATTTAAGTAATACACTGTCTAAAGCAATGAAAGATGCATTATAGTTCCACTAATTTAGGATAATTTATTGCACATAAATTTACTGCGGTTTCAGAAGAGTACATAATCCATGCATATAAATGAAGCAAAGAAAGAGTACACATTAGATCTCATTAATTACTCAACAGCTCCTGAATTGTCTTCTGCCTTCTCAGTAAAGATCAAAAGAAGAATGGTTACTGTGTTAAGTTTCACCCAATAATTACATGTTTTGGGGAACAACCATCAGCACCCTTAACAAACTACAGCTCCTGGAATTCTTTGGGGAAAGGCACGACTGCTTAAAGTGGTAGGACAAAACTTTAAAAGTATGCTCTGAATGTGTCCAAGGTCTGAGATGAATCTGCAAAATTCTCAAAATTGTACAAGGCAGATTCCACACCACTCACCTGACAGTAAGAAAGAGCACAATCTCCCTTCTCCCTCGTAAAGGATTATTGTGGGAAAATGAATTCTGAAAGGCTGAATCCATGCTAGAAGGGTTAATGTAAATTCCATCCACTAGTCAAAAGGAGTCAAAGTTATAGCTAATTTTTGATTGCAATAATAATAATAATAATAATAATA